TTCCTGAAGTTGTTTATAAGATCAAGCAGATTTTGGGCAGAGAGTCTGGGATTTTCTAGGTATGGAATCATATTGTTTGCAAACAGAGATTGTTTGACTTGTGTGAAAAACACAGTGGAGTAAAAGCAAACACGTGTCAGCAATGGAATGGAAAAATACAAATGCCCATGAATAAATTTAATTTGAATGTGAAGAAGTAATATGAAGCAAATAACACAGTCATTGTGTGGGATGTGTTAAAAGACTTGAGGAATTGAGGAGTGGCTTTTTTTTTTTTTTTTTTTTTGATTGAGAGATTCTAAAATAGAAAGATGGCTATTGTCGCAGAGTTAACATGTGATATAAAAATGGTAACTAATCCCAGCACTTTGGGAGGCCGAGACGGGCGGATCACGAGGTCAGGAGATCAAGACCATCCTGGCTAACCCGGTGAAACCCCGTCTCTACTAAAAAATACAAAAATCTAGCCGGGCGAGGTGGCGGGCGCCTGTAGTCCCAGCTACTCGGGAGTCTTGAGGCAGGAGAATGGCGTGAACCCGGGAGGCGGAGCTTGCAGTGAGCTGAGATCCGGCCACTGCACTCCAGCCTGGGCGACAGAGCGAGACTCCGCCTCAAAAAAAAAAAAAAAAAAAAAATGGTAACTAGTATCTCAACAGGAATATTTTAGTACCTGATCAAATGATTCTGCAGTTCATCTGAAAGACCAATGTGTCAGAATTGATAGAAAAGGAGAAATCAGTGAGGGAGGGCAAGCATTACTTCACATTTCAAATATCATTAAGCTACAGCAATTAAAATAGTGCAGTAGTGGTACAGGTATAAACAACTCAGTGGAAGAAAATTAAGAGAGTTATATACAAAATTGAGTGGGGATGTAGGTGATGATAAAAGAGCCATTTCAAAACAGTGGGTGAAACAGTTACATACAAAATTGAGTGGGGATGTAGGTGATGATAAAAGAGCCATTTCAAAAACAGTGGTGAAATAGATTCAACAATTAAGGTTGAATTTTAATACTTAATGTTGTCCAGCTGATCAATGATTTTGAACGACAATAATGCAACCAAAAACTATGAATGTCTTATCGATGGAGGTAACACCACTGCAAGCATGACAGCAAACTCGTGAAGGAGGCAAGAAAATGATTTCTGGAAGCGTATATAAAACAGGTATTAAAATATTTAAGATTTATTTCTGTGATGGTGAATTTTTGTGAAACACATTATTAGAGTAAGCAGGGGCCTGCGTGTTCTCCAAAGTCACTGGAAGGCAAAGAAAGGTTAAGGGAGAAAAGAAAAGTGCTTTCTGTTCATTTTCGATGTCAGGAGCACTGGTGGTTTAGTTTCTCCACAGAGGCAGGAAAACTTCAGTCACGAAAACTTCAGTCACGAGGCGAATGCCCCCCTCAGTGCGCATGCTGCACAGACCTGTTGCTGCGCATGTCTGTTGGTAGGCGTGTCTGTTGTTGCGCATGCGCCTTGCTGCCCACCACCTGTCCACGCAGAGCTCTGCAAGGAGAGGTCGTGTCTTCATTCTTTCCGCCATCTTGATTCTTTCTCACTGATTGAGACGCAGCCGGTAGGTCCACAGAGCGGTCTTCCTGGGAATTTAGTTGTGAGTGAGTGTGTGGAGGAGCCAGCTGGCTTTGGACAGGTCCTGCAGCACAGTCCGTGGCTTCTGAGGGAAAAGGGCCTCGTCCGGCTCCACCCAGGTCGAGATGCCACCATGGGACTCCTCATTGTGGCTGGGCTGGGACGAGGGAGGAAGGTGGGCCGCAGAGGGGAGGGATCTCGTGAAGATGGGGCGAGTGCTGCGGGTGCTGTTAGAGGTGTCTGAGTCCCGGAAACTCCCGGAACCCTCTGAGACAGGACAGTTTCTAGACTCCTAGGTAGGGGCGCGGAAAGGGACAGCGTGTTTGGTAAGGAAGGGGCCTGGGAACTGGGAACGCTGTGGGCTGGTGACTGCGGCCCTGAGGTCTGTAGAGTGCCTGGCAGAGGTGTCCCGTGAGGAGCATAACGTTCACTCTGTTTCGCAATTTCTCACCTCGCCCGTGAACGTCATGGGGAAGGAATGGGTGGCGATTGCTTTCCAGCAAGACTCGATTTTGGGAAGGTGTGGGGGTGAAATGGGCCCTAGCAAATCAGTGGGACAGCAGTAGTCATTTCGTTTCATTCTCTGCCATTTCCTAAATGTCTTCATGATGGAGAGTCTGATTGTAGGCAAAACTCAGAAATGTCTTCTGTCTTTTGCTATGGCGTTAAGGTGATTTCTGTGCCTCTTCAACTGTGATACAAACAAACCTGTCCTTAGTTTGACTGGAAAGCATGAGTACTTATCATTGCTCTGTGAATTATTTTGAAAATATTTTCAAAATTAAGATAAATTCAAAATTTTAAAAGTACAAATCACCATTTTGCCATGGAATGTTCCTATATATAGCTAAGTTCTTACACTTTTCAATAACAATATTCTGTTTTCAGTGGGAAATATGAGTGAGCGTGTAAGAACAAGATCCCAATCCTCAGAAAGAGGAAATGAACAAGAGTCTTGGCCGGTTGAATCTGTGATTGTGAGTCCTTTAACATTTGATGTTTTCTATTAACACAATTTATTTTACAAAATATATTTGAGCTAGTGTGCATGCACTGGTCAGGAGTTCCTTTGATAAAAAATGATGATTGCATCTCATGAAGGAAACTTTGGTTCAGGAATATTATATTCTGGTGTTACCTGTATGGATATGAATATTTCTCTCTCTCTTTCTCTCCCTCTCTCTCTCTCTCTCCCTGTCCCTCTCTATCTCTCTCTGTGTGTGTGTATATATATATATACGTCTGTTGGAAGAATATCTTTAGATTTATGATTCGATGCACATATACATTTGTGTATTTATATTATTGAGTTTTTATTCGCACCTTTTATGGGTCCAGCAGCCCACTGAGGAAAAACGTCAAGAAGAGGAAGCGCAACTGAAAATCAGGAGTATTGCACCTGGTGGGGAGATCGAAAATGAAGAGGAGGAGCACCTGCTGTTAAGGTGAAGGGAGAGTGGAGAATAATGCTGTGGGTGGTGGAGGTATATTTATGCATTATGCACATGACGCACCTGTAACAGGAGGCCAGAAAACATTAGGAAGGAATCTTAAACATTTCCTGCTGCTGCTGTGTGGGGAGGGTGGGACAAGGACACATAGAAAGCCACAAAACTTTCCTACCATTTTGACAGAGGCTTTTATTGATTGGAGGTACTTGCATGGTTATCATAAGCCGTGAGTGTTTTTCCAGAGCTCCTGTATGGTTTTATTCAGTCATTTTCTGTTTTTTTGGTTTGTTTTGTATTTTATGTTTCTGTCTTGGAAGAATGGCTCCTTGTAGCTTCTAGTCTGCCATCTGCAGAAAACATCATATGTTTTTAAGAAACTTTTAATACACATTTATTAATGCTTCGTCATGCCATGTTACTAAGTGCTGGAAACCTCAGTGCCAAACTGTAGCCTAAAGCTCATAGTCTAGTCAGACTGACTCAAAGAAATCACTGATTTAATGTGATAAGAATAAAACATCAAATGGTACAAAAGGGCAAGAAGTAAGTTGTCTAGGGCCAGCCTTGGGGAAAGGAAAGGGTGATGTTAGAACATCTCTGCTTTCCTGTTTTCCTGGCAACAGACTCCTGAAATAATTAGCCTACAGGTTTTATTTCATAATGATGAGGGAATACACATTATCATTTCCTCGTTCATAGTTCACGTTTTAATTTGTAAACTGATGACCTTTTTATGTTTTAAGGGCCTGACGTGGAAGCTTTTCAACAGGAACTGGCTCTGCTTAAGATAGAGGATGAGCCTGGAGATGGTCCTGATGTCAGGGAGGAGACTCTGCCCACTTCTGATCCACTAAAGTGCTGGAAGCTTGAGTAGCATGTTGTTCAATTAAGATGCAAACTAGAGGGTGTCTGTTTTCACAATATTATATTTTTTGTGACACAGAGGTAAAATTACTGCTACTTTAATATCTTACTTCACGTCTAAAACATTGTTGAAGGTAGTTCACACCCCAAATGGCTGCCTTACACTATTAGAGATAGAGGGGCCAGGTGTGCTGGCTCATGGTTTTTTAATTCCAGCGCACTTTGGGAGGCCGAGGCAGAAGGATCACTTGAGGCCAGGACTTCAAGAGATGGAGAAAAAGTGAGTCAAAGTTAATTGGATTATGATATGAAAGATATGACAATATAAGAGAGTGAAATGCAGTGTCTTCACAGGTATTTCAAGTAATGCAGATATTAATTAGCTTGATGTAGCCATTTCACAATGTGTATATATATTTTAAAGCTTCATGTTATACGTGATAAATATATACATTTATGTCATTTTTAAAAAGATTTGAAAACATGTTCTGACTTTTGTATGTAAGTGATTTAACCAGCAATGATAATTTTCAGATATTTTTATAGAGGTCTGTTTTCTTCAAATATGTAGTGTTTATAATAAGCATCAGTTTATTTGTGATGTTAACTGTGATGGTAATGTTTTACAGCTAGCATGGGTATTCACTTTACTGTATAAAGTAGACTGCCTTTAAATATAAAGAGGCAGGAGGGGACGGTGAATGAGACAAATGTTAGCCCTACTTAAAAACAACTGCACAATGGCTAAACTAGTCCAAAGTAAACGTTTATACACTTTTTCACAAGAGACACAAAACAAATGTAATGCTGACTTTTCTATTTCCTTCACATAGGCAGTTCTAAACATATTCTGTATTCAGAGTGTTATTTCATATCAAAATGTTTAAATGATACTTTAAAAATATCTTTTTCCCTTAGGATTTTGTTTCGTTGAATTTTAATTGAAAGTGTATGCTTTTTTTTTTTTTTTTTTTTCTGCTTTCCACTTATACATACAAATAGATTCACGTGATTGAATTCATTCTGACGTTGAACAGTCTCTTTGTGTCCTTATTCTACTAGAAAAAGTGGCATGAATTAAAAATATTGTTATGTGGCCTGGAAGTCTACCTTCAGAGTTTATTCAGAGGCTAACTGGATGTAGGCTAAGTGCCACAGGGTTCTGATGATTAGTTCATCAACACATGGTAGTTGTATACCTCTAATTCTGTCATATGAATAAAAATCTGCTGAGTAGCAGGTCTAATTGTATATTTATGTTTTTAGGTGATGCGCAACCATAGGTTTACACCAAGAGAAATGAAGACTGAAACCAAGAATATTATTGTTATGCTGGAAATTTGACTGATAGCATTCTCTTAATAAAGTTTTACAGTTTTCTGCAAGGAATCCTTGCACATTTTTGTTAAATTTATTTCTGGATCTTTAATAGTCTTGAGAATTGTATCTTTTTTGAACGTTTAAATCCTGTGTTTGAGATGGTACATGGAGATAAAGTATTGAAACATTGATTTTCTATCTAGATAGATAGGAAGCTGGAAGCTTTCATAGTGGGATGCCAACCATGCACAGATAGAAAAGGGAGAGCCATGTGGGGCCAGGCATGTCCACCATGGGCTTTCCACCTCCCCCTTTTTTAGCATGCACGGTAAGAGCGAAATGAGCAACATGGAGTAGCCCAGGCTGAGGACCCGCCTGCATAATAAAAGATTAGGGTGGGGGCTGCCAGAGATTCACACCCTATGCAGATGGTACACCTGGTCCTAACGATTGTTTTGTACCCTCTGTGGGTGATCAGATACAGCCTCCCCACTAGCTCATCTATAAAAACCCACCATTTCATTGCAGGATGCTTATGGCTGTTTTTGTCTGGGACCTCTCTGCAGTAGAAAGCTGTTCTCTTTGTTGTTTCTCCTGTTAACTTTCTGCTCTACACCTCACTCTTGGTGTGCCCATGTCCTTGATTTCCTTGGCTGTGAGTCCAAGAACTCTGGGTCATTTACCAGGCAACGAGGCACTTCAATACTAGCTGTGGGTCTGTGGTATATGACTTTTATTACAATGAAGTATGTTCCTTCTTTCACTGGTGTTTTCAGCATTTGTATCATGATGACACACTGAGATTTATTAAATGCTTTTCAGCATCAATTGAAATGATTATATGGTTTTTGTCTATCATTCCATTGATGTGATTTATCACATACATTAATTTGTGTATGTTAAACCATCCTTCCATCCCAGGAATAAATCTCACTTGGTCATGATGATGATTCTTTCTAACGTATTGTTAAATTTGATTTGCTGGTATTTTGTTGAGGACTTCTGCATCAATATTCATCAGCGGTTTGCTTGTAGTTTTCTTTTGATGTCTTTGTCTGGTTTTGGTATCAGGAGGTAATACTGGCCTCATAGAATAGGTTGGAACTATCCCTCCTCTTCTATTTTTCAAAGTTGTTTGAGTAGGTTGGTATTATTCCTTCTTTAAACGTTGGGTAAAATTTAGTAGTGAAGCCATCAGGTCAGGTGTTTCTTTACTGGAAGACTTTTTATTATGGCTTTGATGTGATGCTTCCTTCAGGTTATGGATTTCTTCCTGGTTCAGTCTTGAGAGGTTGTATGTATCTAGGAATTAGTCCACTTTTTTCTAGATTTTCCAATTTATAGGCATGGAGTTTCTTGTAGGAGCCGGTTATGATCTTTGAATGTTTACAGCTTTCAATTTTTGTAACGTCTTGTTTTCATTTCTTTTCTTTTCTTTTTTTTTCTCGAGACAGAGTCTCCTTTTGTCCTCATGCTGGAGTGCCAATAGCAGAGTCTCAGCTTACTAGAACCTCCACCTCAGGGTTCAAGCAATTATCTTGCTTCAGTTACCGTAGTCACCACCCTGGTGGTGGGTGGGATACAGGAAACTTTACCGCCATGCCTAGTTAATTGACACATTTTTGCCATAGAGATGGAGTTGCCATGTTGGGGTTGGTCTTGAAGAGGTCCCACGGCCTCAAGTGATCCACCTGCTCAGCCTCCCAAATCCTTTTTCATTTTCTGGTTTTTTATTTATTTTGGGTTTCTCTCTTTTTCTTAGCGGCTAATGGTTTGTCAATTTGGGTTAACTTAGCCAAAAAAAAACAACTTTTTGTTTTATTGATTTGTTATTTTTATTGGGGTTTTTTCATTTCAATTTCATTTATTTCTACACTGGAATCTTCATTATTTTTCTTCTTAATTTTTTTTTTGGTTTGGTTTGCTCTTTCTTGCAACTCTTTAAGATGCATTGTTTGGGTGTTTATTTGAAGTTTTACCTCTTTGGTTGTATGCGCTATAAACCCCTTTCTGAGTACTGCTTTTGCTGTATCCCATCGGTTTTTGGTATGTTGTACTTTCCATCGTCATTTCATTTCAATAAATTTTAAATTTCCTTCTTAATCTTCATCGACCCGTTATTCATTCAGGATCCGATTATTCAGTTTTCATGTATTTGTATAGTTTCCAAAATTCCTCTTGATAAGCCAATTTCTAGTTTTATGCCACTGTGGTCAGACAAGATATAGTATTATTTCAGGTTTTTTTAGTGTTTTGAGACCTAACCTATGAGTCTTGTCCTTGAGAATGATCCATGTGCTGGGGAAGGAGTGTGTATTCTGTAGCAGTTGGATGAAATGTTC